TTTGATCAGGAGCTTAATGGATCCAAATCAGATGACCTAAAGAAAAGTGCACCTCATTCCAAAGAATTTCCTTTGGAATTACTGCAGTTTCAAGTTTCATCCTATTTTAGGTTGAAAAGGCAACTGAAAGGGACTATTTTTTTTCCTATGCAATAGATAGTCCAACATACCTGTGTCTAAAAAAACAAAAAGCAAAAAAACAGTTCTGGTTGTCACCCTTTGGAACCAGATGATCTCTAGCTCAAAGGTCCATAGGAAGACATCATTAATGATGTAAGGAATCAGATCTACTCTAAGCAAGTCAAGGAGCAGGAAGGTCTCAGAGTAAAGATAACTCCCCACATTTCTTCTCCAGTGGCCATTCCCAACATACAAACACAACAAATTATATGATTATGGAAAAATTAGGGGCTACTTTTATTTCAAAGAACACACAAGTTCATCACAAAGAAAAAAAACAAAAACAAAAACAAAAAACTCTCCCAGGAAAACACATACATATACCTATCAAACACCAGAATCTTTTCATATTTCTCCTTTAATATCCTCAACCACTTCTCCTTTGTGTTTTTCCCTGATCCTTCCTATTGAATTTTTCCCCCTTTGTCCTTTTCTTTCTATATCTTCCCTCTCAGAGAACTCATCCTGGCTCACAGCTTCACATGCAGATGACACCCAAAGATCTTCTTTGACTCCTAAAGCTCTGTCCTCTTCCCTAAACCAAAGGCCTTACACCCAAATACGTATTAAACATTTCTCTTTGAATTTAACATCATCGGTAGAACCCTTCATATGCTGTCACACATTCATTAACATATTGGTTAGTTTTGCTGAATGGCTTTTTTTTTTAAACTTTTTTACTTTTTATACTATCATAAGGGATGGCTCTCTGAGTAGAAGTATACATTGTGAAATGGAGATATGAGAACAAAAGGTAACAATAAAAATAATTTTTTAAAAATATTACATCATCACCTGCAAGTTAACCTCTCTAAAACCATATTCAGCATCTCCTTCTGAAATCCCTCCTAACTATTCTATTTCTGCAACTGTTACAGTCTGGGAAAACAGGTTTTCCTGGCCTAGTCTTTCTCAGACAGTCTCTGTCTGCCCTAAACATTTTCAAACTTTCTCCTACCTGGCACCAATCCTCCCATTTCTGAAACCTAGCAGACCAGAGACAATCATCTCTGATTCAACCTCTCTGATTGGTACCTCCTTTCCTGAGGCACAGCAGGTAGGAGACCAACCAGTCCCAGATAAATGAGATTCTAGTCCTTCCTATAAGACACTCTGGATCCAACTCAGTGGCTCCACTAACCCAGAAGTCTCACCCTTTAAACTGGCAAAAGCTCAATCTAGTGATGTGTAAAATTGGAGCCTCTCACAAGACCATCCTGGATACCCTTCTCTGGACATGGGCTCAAAGTGATTTGGCATTGTATGCCTTTCCTGACATTTCATATGTGGCTCTGTCACTTGCTGAGCTTGCTGGGTTCTTCTCAGGCCAAGCATCAACTAACTGCCTTTCTATTTTGACAGCAAATATTGACCTTGTCTTTTCCTTTCTTTGCCCATCTCCATGCTCCCTGCCTCAGGTGTTTCCCATCTCCTAAAGAGATGGATAGATGCATAGATAGATAGATAGAGAGAGAGACAGATAGACAGATAGACAGACTAATTTATTCGGCACTTACTATGCTCTAGGCACTGTGCCAGGCACTAGGGACACAAATATAAGCAAGCAAAACAGCTCCTGACTTTGAGGAGCTTACATTATAAGGGGTGAAGACAACAAATAAGGAGAAGTGAGAAAAGGGGAGGGGAGGAGAGAGTAAAGTGTGTAAATGATGAGGAAGTGTCCTGGGGGCCTGATCCAGGCAACATAAGGTCAGAGTTCACCTATCAGAGACCAAAGTCCAAGGGAAGAAGTCCAAGCTTCAGAGTCAAGGTGATGGTCAAAGTGATGGTCAGGAAAGAGGGCACTGTAGAAGTGGCTGGGACGTCATCATCTTTGACATGTTCTTTTCTATCACTCCTTATATGTGATCCATTGTTAAGTCCTACTTATTCTTCCTTTAAAATGGACATGACACAGAGAACTGAGTCAAATTTATAAGGTTAAGAGCCATTCTCCAAATAACAAAAGGTCAAAGAAATGAACAGGAAGTTTCTGAGGAAGAAATCCAAGCTATCAAGAATCATATGATCTAAATAATTAAACAAATGCAAATTAAAACAACTCTGAGGTACCAACTTATACCCATCAGATATGCAAAGGCAACAGAAAAGTAAAATGACAGCTGCTAGGAAATCAGGTATATTAATGTACTGGAATTGTGAACTGATTCAGACATTCTGGAAAGCAAACTGGAACTATGTCCAAAAAGCTATTTAACTGCACATACTCTGACTCAGCGATACCACTATTAGGTCTATGCCCCAAAGACATCAAAGAAAGAGGAAAAGGATCCGTACATACAAAATATTTCTAGCAGTTCCTTTTGTGGTGGAAAAGAGTTGGGAAATGACTGAAAAATTATGATATATGAATGTGATAGAATACTATTGTACTGTAACAAATGATGAAGGGGATTCTTTCAGAGAAACCTGGGAAGACTTGCACGAGCAGATGTAAGGTGAAATAAGGAGAACCAGGAGGACAATTTATACCATGATAATAATATTGTAAAGACAAACAACTATGAAAGCCTTAGGAACTCTGACCACATAATGACCAACCACAATTTCAAAGAATTTATGAAGAAACACGCTTTCTACTTCCAGAGAGAAGTGATGGGCTCAGAGGCTTTTTTTTTTCCTTTTGGATATGGTTAATGAGAGAATTTGTTCTGCTTGACTATACATATTTGTAACGGGTTTTGTTTTTCATGCTTTCTCAATAAGAGTCAAGGGAAAAGCAAGAGGGAAAGAATTCAGAACAGAAAATAAAACTGAATTTAAAAAAAATTCAGAGCTGAGACACCCAAACAGCAACCCAAACAGATCTCTTTTCTTAGATTTTATTGTCTGAGTCAAAAATGTTGCTTCCCATGCTGTAGCTGCATTGATGGTTGTATTTTACAAAACCTCAGCAATGAAAAACGCATGGTAGTTGTGGCAAACTCTCTCCTCATCTAGCTCAAACAAAAAGTCTAATTTTTAAGACAAACTTCCAGACAAAATCCAACCATTTCTCATTGGGTACACAATCAAATTCAGCTATTTCAGGGCCACATGTAGGAAAAAAAGGTTTTCTTTCACCAATATTTTCATAAGTTTTTTACAAAAGAAGACAAAAAGTCTCTTGCCTTTGGATCCACACCTTCCATCTTTCATTTCAATTGCTACCTATGACTACTATGGTTCTTTCCATCAACATGGTCCTTTATCACATAACATTATCAACATTTTATGTTAAGTTTGTGGCTCCAACTTACAAAAGATCCCACCAAACATGTCTCCTAAGTCTCTATTTCATTGGCCAGAAGCTTTCCTTCTGTAATGATAATATTCCCTCTCTATTCCCAAACAATTACAGTAATAGCTCCTATTTTATAGAAAATTTCTATCTTTCCTACAATTTTGCTTCCCCCCATATGCAGCAAAAGTTAAAGGTTTTAGTCAGACATCTCTGTCCAATCAGAAAGGAGATATTTTCTAAACCAACCTTTCAAATAGATATTTTGCCCCTTAGCAACCAACTTATATATAATGCTTTACTTAAAGAGCTCTTCAGAACCAATTTCTAACGTATTTGTACCTCAACCAGAACAAAACATTTAAGAAGAAAATTTACTAAAGCTTTTAAACACATTAAATGTAATTTCATGACTAGCAATCAATGAGTTGGAACTCTACTGCTAATTAGTTACATGATATTGGCAAAGTGTTCTTAGGCCTCAATTTCCTTGTTTGTAGTATAAGATCACCGCCCTACATGATCTCTAAGGACTCTTCTAGTCCTAAAATTGTATAAATCTATAACATCTGGATTATTACAGTAGTTTCCTAACCGGTTCCTGATTCTAGTCACTCTCTCTAAATCACCTTTTACACTGCTAAAACATCATTTTCATTAAGTAATTCATCAAGTGAAAATCTTCAATAATTTCCCACTACCTATACAATTAGCCCAGATTTCTCTGCCTTGAATTTAAAATGTGTCAAGATGTAGCTCCTCTTTATCCATTCTTATCACCTATGTTTCCTTACCATAAAGGCTTCATTCCAGCCAAAATGCATCCTTGCCATGTTCCATACTCCTACTACGCTTATTCGCTTTGCAATGTTGTTCCTTCTACCTGGAATGTTCTTCGTCCTTTTCTCATCTAAATCCTCCCCCAAAGCATTTTTGACTCACTTCAGATTTCCCTTGGCTCACCTTTCACAGGGAGTGCCTGTACATTTCACCCAGTGACAGGGCTCACTCTCACCACCTTGAATTTCACTAATTTAATAGCAGAAAAAAGCATATACATTTTACCTTTCCCTGTCTTGACCTTGTTAGCTTCTGCCCAATTTTTACCAATATTGTACACCATCTAGTGGTGAAAGATCACTTTACTTTGACAATAACCATAAATAAGCAAGTGGGGGAGGTATTTTGCTTTTTTACAGAAATACAGCAGCAAAAGAACAGGGACTGACTACCTGACTAACAGTACCTTCACAACGTTATTCAACTGTTTAACATATGTATTTCTGGTACCCCCAGAGAAAAACTCCAGTGGGCCCTAGATATATTAAGGCAGTCCTACTTATGGAGTGCCCAATTTATTCCTGTTGAATTCAATTTAGTTGAATTCGAGTCATATTATTTATGTAGATGGTAAAAAATACAAATTTAAACATTCAATGATCAATAATAACTTTATATATTATTAAATAATTATTATAAAAGATTAATTATTAATTGAAATGTTTCTCTGTATGAAATTAAAAGCACTCAATACTATAAATAATACAAAATTAAAGGAAAACCGTTTTGTTTTACTTACATATAACGGAGCTTGTTGTGGATTAAGTTTCATGACCCAGAACACTGAAATAAATAACAAAAAAGGTAAATTAGAATAAAATGTTTACTGACAAAAAAGTCCTAAAACAAATACAATTGAATGGAGTCAAGTTTAACACCTTAAATCTGAAGAGGGTTTTGATACTTTTTTTTTCTTATGAACTTAGAAGAAGACTGATACAATGAGGGGAAAGGGAAGAACAAAGATAAAAGAACAAAAGAACAAAACTCCTTGCCTGAAAGAAGCTTACATTCTACTAGAGAGATAAGACACAAAATGACCAGTACACAAGTTAAGTAAGTATAATACAAGGTGAGGAATGAAAGGGACAAAGAACATCGAAGTGCTATAGGAAAACTCATTTGTAGAAAGAAAGTAATTGGGCTAGATGATCTCTTCCAGTTTAAATCCTAGGATACCAAGATTCTATTTGCTAGAAAAGCTGTAGGTCTGTGTGATCAAAGCTCAACCAAAAGAAGCAAAGGTTGTACAAACTGGGAACAGGACTTACCACGCTGGCATGATGGTTCAGTTATTAAGAACATCACTGCAAAATGTCTGCGTTTTGAACAATATTGATTAGGGTATGTCTCTACATAGTAACACAACTTTCAAAGTGCTTCACAGACATGTCAACTTGATTTTTAGCTGATGAGTGAGTTATTTTGAGGTTCTAAATATTCTTCTCTAGTGGAATCCTAAGGGATTCCAAAGGCAGAGGGAAAGGCTGCTGCTCCCTTTTCCATATTACCCACTAAGGCTAGGGTTCGGGTTTCTCACAAGAAGTCCTTGAAAACTATCCAAGTATCGGATGCAAGAATATAAAAACTTTCAAAGGAGAAGGGATCTGAGTACTAATAACATAAGCAATTTGTATCATTTGCCTAATGTAAGGTATTAAAAAAGAAGCAGCTCCAATAATTGGTAGAGAACTCACCAAGAAGGCAGGAAGACCTGGATTCACACAGCAACTGAAATACCAGATGCTTAACCATGAACAAGTGATTCCACCATTATCAGCCTCAGTTTCCTCATCTTTAATGGGGATAATAACATGCTTATACTTCTTCCGTCACAGGGTTGTTGAGAGAAAAGTACTTTTAAAACTTTAAGGTGTTAAGTGAGTTGACATTATTATGTACTCAACATTCCCTCAAATGGAACTACTTGCTATTCTATCATTTTATTCTTCTCTCCCTCTCTTTCCTTTAAGTATTAGACTTGCTGAAATTCTCTTCATTCAAGGCCCTAATTGGGTACCACCTCTTGCAAGAAATCTTTTCAGAGCCTACTCAAGTGAAATGAATGCCACCCTCCTCAAATATTCTTAAGTACTTTGTCTTTACCATACTTATTTGTGTACCAGTTGTGTGACCTCTGAACTCTGTAATGATATGTACTCTCCTGAAGAGCCTCTTTGTGGCTCTGTCATTTTAGCACTGAGCCTCACCCCTTATAATAAAAGTCTCTTTTCCCAGTGCTCCCTCTCACTCTGCTTTATTACGGATTTCCTTTCCTACTGAATGACTTCACCCATCCATTCTTCCAATTCTTTTGCGCCTGATAGGCTATTTACCTATTATTAAAATCCTTAATGTAAAACTATGCTTAAAATAAGTAAGGCAGCTAGTTAGCACAGATGACAAAGAGCTGGTCTTGGTGTCACGAAGACCCAAGTTCAAATCTAGCATCTGACACTTATTAGCTGCATGACCCTGGGCAAGTCATTTAACCTAGGTCAGCCTCAATTTCCTCACAGCCTCTCCGCCTCCCAGGGTTGCTGTGAGGATCACATGAGATAATATTTGGGAAAACACTTTGTAAACCCTAAAGTATTATATAAATATTAGCTGCTATTATTATTATTAGTATTAGTAGTAGTAGTAGTAGTGGTAGTAGTAGTAGTAGTAGTAGTGGTAGTAGTAAACTCAGATGAAATAAAGTGAAGGAAATTCAGGAGTGGACTCCAAGTTTAGGGTATTAATGAACCTGCTACCAACTAAAATAAAAACAGAAAGAAGCTGAGTGTTTCCCCTAGCCACCAAGCACTTGTTTGATTTAAAGTACAACACATCATGCCTGCTGGTTTTTTAATCAAGTCCTGTTCAGACTTGCCAGGGCTGCACAGATGAAAGAACATGTAACTTTATAGGAGGGAAAAAAATTGCTTCAACTATCGAAGCATTCACATTGTCACATCACAAGCAGGAGAAATCTGTGAAGATGCCCAAAGGAATTAGCATGTTTATAATATTTAAGATTAAAGAGAATTTATAAGAAAGAGTCAGAGACTTCTCACTTTCATATAGAGAATACCAGCCCCTAAAGTAAATGGGGTCACCTCGTTAGGTGAACCACAGAGATGAAGCTTAAATATGTCTACCTTAATAGCCACAAGGTAACTTAGTTGAAAAAATTAGCCATTAAACACACTAAAAAAGCTTATGAACTTACCCAAAACTCAAAGGACAGGACTCAATTTTCTATGTGGATACAAAAAGATTACAAAACAGCTATCTCACTTTGGTCAAAAGGGCAGCACAATCTTAAACTGGTTTTCTGACAATGAGGATGAATGAAATGGTCTTAAGTAATAAAGGTAATGGCCACATAAAACTTCTGAATCTGTGAGCTGTTTTTCCTCTTCTTCATTCAGGTTCTATAATGAAAGACAACTCCTGGTAACAGAACCAAATCCAACAACCTGCCTACTCCTAAAGGATATGCTACATCACTGATCTTTAGAAGCCTTCATAAAATAGGTCCTTAAGCCTAAAAGAAGCTGAAGGACTAGGGTAATTTAAACACTGTTGATGTACTACTAGAAATCCTGTCGCACATATAAACCTGGTTCACTAATAAAGGAGTCATAAGAGGAGATAATTTTAAGTAATAATTGATTCAGCACTCAAAGAGCCCTAACTAAAGAAGCCTCCACCAAGTGCTACAAACTGCATCAGGTTTTAACTTGACTATTTTTTGCTAACTAGGTGCTGAACTTGCTGCTGAACTACAGGATAACTGCAAATGCCATCAGGAGTTTCAAAATTCAGGGTCCTGCGGCAACACCTGGGTTGTCCCCATCCCATATGCAGTTCCCGTAAGAAAATAAGTAATAGAAGTCAGAACCAATAAGGCATAAGATAATTCAGAAACTAGTACCTTCTGACTGACCCAAATAAACTTTACTACTAGGAAATTTAGTTATTTTCAAGTTATCCACTAATCTCATTAAAGATACTAAAACACTCAGGCTAGGAATTAGGTCTTGTGCCCTGCCCTAGTCATTATATCCAGGTCTTCCCATCACTGAATGACTCTGAATAAATCATTAGCATGCTGGAACTATTTTCTTTCTGTATTTTTCCCTCAGTATAAAATAATAAATTACATATGCATATATGTACATATATAAAATAAAATTTCTGTATTTTTTCTCTTTATAAAATAAACAGTACAGTAACACATGATACAAATGCATTGCAGACTGTCTTGTATTTCAGAAGCTATAAAGAAAAGAAAACAAAGCATTAAAACTGAGATGTTTTAAAAAATATTACTAAAATCTATTACTCATTAACCTTATACTAAAGTCCTAAAAGTTTATATAAAAAGCTTAAGAAGAAATTAGGTGTTATAATAAACTAAATATGTTTTTGTCCAGGAGTTCAATTTTATTTAATCTGCTATTCTGATAAGGAACAGCCTACATTAGTGAATGTACTGTTTTATAATGAACGATGATACTTTTAATTTTGTTCTGATTCAGAGTATGAGTCCAAAAGGAAAGAACTAACTGGTAGTTTTGAAGCAATCATTTCAGCCAGATGAAAACTATGCCTCATGACTGATTTAAAAGTAAAGGGTTTTTTTTAAGTAAAAGTTTTAAATTTTATTTTAAATTTAAATTTTAAGTAAAAATTTTAAATTTTCCACCTAAAGGAAAATGAGAAAGACTCTTGAGAAGTCAGGGAGTGTGGAGATGAAAACTGTAGGTGGAGGTATCTTTAGCATCTTGATTTTGCTTTAGCTTTGCTCTGCATCACAGTTTGCAATAATTGCAAAGCCATCTCCATTCGATGTGTGTGTAGGCAGTCTAAGAGTTAGAAGCATCCAATTTCTGGAACTGAAAAGAAAACATGGGAGAAGGGATGTAAGACCTTTGAAGGTCTGTCAAGTAGAAGAATGAATAGACATGCCCTGTTTGGCCCAAAAACCACAGAACTTAGGGAGGTATAATAAATAAATGCTGAAATGGTACAAATTTAGACCTGATATAAAGAAAAACTTCTTATTAAATTTGAGTGATCCAAAAATAGAGTGAGCTGCTTTCCATGGGTAGAGGTTTCCCTCCTCATCACAGGTCTTCAAGAAAAGGCTGGATGGCCACTTGCTGAGTAGGAGACAGAGGAGATTTATTATTCAAGTAAGAGTGGATGAAGTAGATGGCCTCTGAAATTGACCTCAAAAGTGGGCTTAGAGGCAGCAGTGCACAGGAAAGAATGGGTTGAATCTGCAGTGGAAGGATAGGAATTCAAATACCAGCTCTGCTACTCTCCATGTGACTGTGGGCAAATCACTCAGTCTCCCCAAGTTTTCATTTGCTTATCTGGAAAAAAAAAAGCAAACCAATAAGCAGACTGAACCAAATGCCTCCTGAGACACCCTCTGCTAACATCTATAACCCCATAATTCTTTCCAATTCCATTCTATTTTAAAAAAGGGAGGGGAAAAAGTTTCCATTGGGTCAAGAGTATTTTTTTAAATGAACAAAATATAATTTTAAAGATTTGAAAATTTAACTTAGTATAGATATAGTTTGAGTTCTCTGCTATCAGAATCATCATGGTTAGGAGAGTAGAAAAGTTTTAGTAATTTGGGCAGGAATTTGACAGTTTTCTTATGGGTAGTGTAAAAACAATCTATATATTTTAGTACCTGTGTTTTGGAGAACACAGAGGCTATTATTCAGGAATGACTGCTTATAATTATAATGAAAGGCTGTTCCATAAGTCTTAGATGC